ATCTGGCTACATCAAGAAAGTCGGTTATAATCCTGCTACGGTCCCGTTTGTACCTATCTCTGGGTGGCACGGTGATAATATGATAGAAAAGAGTCCCAACATGCCATGGTTTAAAGGTTGGGAAATTACAAAAACGAAGGAGGGGAATAGCATAAATGACTCGGGTCATACACTTATAGATGCAATAGATAAAGTGGAACCTCCATCTAGACCAACAAACAAACCTCTCCGAATTCCGTTGCAAGATGTCTACAAGATAGCTGATATTGGTACTCTTCCTGTTGGTCGCGTCGAGACTGGTATCATCAAGCCTGGTATGGTCGTGACATTTGCTCCGCAAGGATTAACAACAGAAGCCCTTGCAGAGGCCTTGCGCGGTGACAATGTTGGTTTTAATGTGAAAAATGTTTCCGTCAAAGATATCCATCGTGTTAATGTTGCAGGCGATTCCAAGAACGATCCCCCGAAGGAAGCCGCAACATTTACCGCTGAAGTCATTGTTATGAATCACCCAGGGGAGATCAAAAATGGCTACGTTCCAGTTCTTGATTGCCACACTGCACACATTGCCTGCAAATTTAGTGAGATCAAGTAGAAGATTGACCGACGATCAGGAAAGAAAATAGATGACTTCCCAAAAATGATTAAGTCTGGTTTAAGTATATTTCATAAGCTGAAAATCACACTGTGTTCTAATGAACACTTATCTATGAGTGATTGACCTCGTTACTATTATCATCATTTCTCACTTTATTCCTGTTGACCGGTTCATGCAATTCATCTCTGTATACACTGTGATAGACTGACTAACCATTTTCTTAAAAATCGATAAGTTCCATGTCAATGTGCCAAATGGTTGCGATCTAATCGGAACTCTATGCTTATAGAGATTCTTTGATGTTGTTTGAACTTTTTGTCAATGTCACCAGTAAATCGACCCATTAACCTTATCACACTTTACTTGTCACATAATCGATCGATAGGTCACCGAAAATTCTATTATTCTCATCAAATCTGCAAAATCAATGAGTAGTATTTGAATAGTAGTAGTTTGTAGTTTAATGCATAGTAGCATTAGAATAGTAGTTTTGAGTGTAGTTAATGAATGAGTCTACTGTGTGATTAATTCAACACATTGTTCTCCTTTTTTTGTTTATATAGCCATCTGGAAAAACTCAACTGGATCCTGATGCATTTGATCGATTGTTGGTAAAACGTTCGGATTTCTTGTATGCATTAGAACATGATATTAAACCGGTATGTCTTACAGTGTGTGTGTGTGTTGTTCATTGTATGTACATTTATTTGTCTTGATTACACATTTGAAATGGATAGAGCTAGAAGATTTAACAGTGACAATTCGATGTGTATTTTTTTCTTCATGATATTGTGGTGCGCGCTACTTATAAGTAGTATATGACGTGAGTGTCAACGTAATGTCTGGCAGCAGAAGAAGATGGGGGAAGATCAAGAGAAAGGAAGAGTTAGAAGAACACAATGGAATTTGTATGAAGTGCATGAATAGTAGTGACATTGGTTTCATGTTTTCCAACAGGAACAGTCCAGTTCGATATGATGGATTGATATTTTGCAAATGAACAATTTACGATAAGGTTTTCCAATTTTACTGAGTAACTCTGTAATTTTCGTTAGATAAAATTCGGTTGCCCCATCTGTGTTCTCGTTCACCACAATATCATATAATCTCCGAGATAAATGGTTTAATTAAAGATTTTATTGTTTGTTATCTTGAACAACTCTCTCTCTCAACGTTTATCATATGCAATGGAAGTAAACTTTAAAACTGTTCTGCACGTGTTAATGTTGGACACATTAGATTTTCAGAACTCACTTGGATATAGTCCTAATTTTGTGATTTATTTCTGAAATTTTAGTCAACCTACAACTTTTTGTCACTCGGAAACCCTTGACTGCTATTGGTTGACGGATTATTTTAGTACGCTATTTATGTGGCTCTCTTACCAAAGGCGTCTCTATCATTATTACATAAATAAGCCTGATTTGTATGCGCATGCGGACTGCGTATTTTCTTGGTGCTTGTAGAATACACTTTCTTGAGGAACCTGAAAAGAAGGTAGATTAGTGACGGTCTTCTAATCCTAATCTCTCCAATTACTGCTAATACTTTTACTACCTCTACTACGATGAGATTTGAATTGACAATTACATCTCTGTGCTAATGTGGTATGGCAACATGAACTGATGTACTTACGTACAAAGTTCTACGTTGCATCTGACTGACTAACTGACTGAATACACTTTCTACGCCATAGCAAGACTTCTTGATCTAGTTAGCCAGGGTCTGGGACAATCAGATTAGAATAGTCTATCGTGTCACACTGTATTATTGATGTTCGTTCCGTTTACCGAGTAAAGTGAACTGGTAATAGCCATTCAAGCATATCAGTTATATCAGTTCGTTCTAATGATTTTGTGAATGTTTTGTTTTGAAAGCTAATTGCACGCTTAATACATTTTTGCAAAATTGTCAAATAACTTCGCCATATTTAATATATAGAGAGACAGATACAACGCAAAACTTCGTATGTACGTGCATCAGTTCAGGTTGCCATGCCCCATCAGCACACAGACGCAACTGTCAGTTCAAATCCAAGAGTGATAGTGATAGTAGAAGTATTAGCAGTAATGGAGAAGATTAGGGAGCAAAGATATAATTCAAGAAGTATAATTCAGTAAGATAAATTTAGAAAGAGAAAGGTAGAGATTATGAGGAATGCAGAAGCTTAGAATTTCATAGAACACAAAGAGTGGATGCACCTGCGCCATTACAAACGATTTTGAGCCATGTCATTCAAGGTCTCTAACCATCGGTTACTATTGTCTCGCAACCCCAACCAAGTAGTCTACATCTGCCAACATGACTCAGACATGTTTCGGTCTGGCCGCCCCTAGCTTTCTTCCAACCTACTCTTACACTACAAAACATAGCTCGTCGCTGCAGTCGGTGGTTAGCCATATGTAACACATGTCCTAACCACCTCAACTGATGAAGTTTCATTACTTCAGATATTGATCTGCCATTCTTACCTAGCACCCGATTCCTAATAACAGCGTTGCTTATACGGTTGTCCCATGATACATGAGCAATGCTTCGGAGACTTCGATGATCGAATACTAGTAAGCTAAGGAAGTCATCTACTCTTAATGCCAAGTCTCGCATCCGTACAGTAGGACGGAGCGAACTGCTGCACAGTACACTCGTCCTTTAGTCAGCAAACGGATATCTCGCCTCCGCCATAGGTGACGCAGATTGGCTTAAGCCAATCGAGCCTTCTGTATCCGAGTTGAGATTTCGTCAGTCACCAGGCCATCAGCACTGATGAGACTCCCAAGATAAGTGTTTGCTTTTTCATACTACGCGTATTTTCTATCTCTTACTTTTTGTATGATGGATGAATGCTTTATCTTATCGGGGCGGCTAGACCAAAACATGGCAGAAATGCATGAAGTCACTGAAAAGTGGACTGAGTCATGTTGCTAAGTGTTGACTACTTGGTTGGGGTCTGCGAGACGAAAGTCACCAATAGTTAGAGACCTTGAACGATATGGCTTAAAATCGTTTGTAATGGCGCAAGTGCATCCATTCGTTGGGTGAGCTCTCTCAAATCCTAATCTTCTGGATTCCTCAACACATCTACCTTTGTCTTTCTAACCTTATCTCATCGAATTATACTTCTTGAATACTATCTTCAAACCCTAGTTTTCTTCATTACGATTAATACCTCTATTATCTTTATCACTATGTGATTTGATTTGACATTTGCGTCTCTGTGTTAATATGGTATGGCAGTTTGAACTGATGTACGTATGTACGTACGTACGTAGTTCTACGTTGCAACTGACTGACTGACTGACTGCTTTATCTTGTTATAACTATTTTCTAATGCAAAGTCAATAACTGGCTTCTTTTTCTATTTAACCACAAAAAATTTTTTCATTTTAAGGCTTTTGGTACTTCTGAAGAAGAACTCAGTTGTTACATTCCACGTGGTATAATGATGTGGGGTGAATCCGTGTCACATGCATTAGATATGGGTCGATTAGCTGTTTCGGCAGTCCGTGAACCAGATGTCGAAACTTATCGACCATTAACATTATTATTAGAAGGTCCACCAAAAGCTGGTAAAACAGCATTGGCTGTGGAAATTGCACGATTATCAGAGTTTCCATTTGTCAAAATTGTTACATCGCATAAAATGATTGGATTCACTGAAATGGCTAAATGTGCATCAATGAAAAAGGTGAGTAACGTAATTTCATGCCTATTTCTAGTGTATGTGTAAAATTGCCTATCATATGACTGAATTTTATATTTGAACTATGTGGGAAGGGGAAATTTATTTGGATATTATATGAAAATTTAGGACTGCGTGATAAATGTATGAATTATTATTGTTCTTCGAGGGTAGTATTTTGAATTACACGAATAGGGTTGAATATGTCAACAATTTTAATGGTTTGTGTCTGATCTGTGGAGTACAACATTTTAGAAATGTTGATTGATCAATGAATGCTCTGAGTGTTTGTTTTTTTCTCTCAACTTTCTGTATTCCTGTATCGAGTTCAGAAAAAGCATACCACTAATTTTGATGTATCGTTATGTTGTTATGGAATTCTCATTAAGTTGAATACGGTTGGGGATATTAAATCCCCAGAACTCAGTTGGAAAAGGTCCTAATTTGTAGTTTTATTCTGAAATTTTGAATTTTTTAATGTGTTTTCGCGCCAAGAGACGCTCACTTTGACTTTCAACATGCATTCCCTCACTCTGAAACTCCTTGATTGTCATTAATTGATGGATGGATTATTTGAGTGCACTATTTTTGTGGCTCTCCCAAGGATGTTTTTATCATTGTATGAATAAGTTTGATTTGTGTGCTTAGCACCTCATATTTTCTGGGTGCTTGTAGATTATTATACTTTCTAGTTAGCCGGGGTTTGGACAAACTCCGCCAGTAGAACCTTCGGGGCTACTGCCGGTCCAAAGCCCGGCGGATAAAGGAGGAGGGTTGGACATTTGGTTGGCGACCGCATTCCGTCAAAAACTAACTTGCCAAAAAAACGCTAACCAGAAAAAATAATTCAAACCATTTTAACACTGCCCTGGGAGTTGGAAGAAGAATTATGACGTCGCGTGATGAAAGCCGAGTTCCCTCAGAAGTCACGGGGCCGATGTCCATTCTGACAACCAGAGCAACCATCTGTTTAGGTACATGGAACGTTCGTACATTGTGGGAGACTGGAAGACTATTTCAAGTTGCGGCAGAACTTAGAAGATACAACATCGAGGTGCTGGGCATCAGTGAACCGCATGGGACACAGGTAGGACAACTGAGACTTGCTTCAGGGGAACTGCTGTTATACTCTGGTCATGAAGAGGAAAATGCTTCACAAACACAAGGAGTTGCACTGATGCTGTCCAAACATGCACAAAAGGCACTGATAGGATGGGAATCTCATAGACCCAGGATCATTAAAGCATCCTTCAAAACAAAGAATGCGGAGATTACAACGAACGTCATTCAATGTTATGCACCTACCAACGACTACAATGACGACGTTAAAGATCAATTCTACGAAAGGCTGCAGCATCATCGACGAGAAAGGTGGATCCGATGCAGATGTGAAGGCGCGCATCGGCAAAGCAATGGCTGCATTTCTACAGTTGAAAAATATCTGGAACTCCAAACAACTTTCAACCAAAACCTAAATCAGGATTTTCAATACAAATATCAAGACAGTTCTACTGTATTGAGCGGTAACTTGGAGAACTACGAAAGTCATCATCCTTAAGATACAAGTGTTTATTAACAGTTGTCTACGCAAAATACTTCGTATTCGTTGGCCAGACACCATCAGCAACAATATACTGTGAGAGAGAACAAATCAGATTCCAGTGGAGGAGGAAATCAGGAAGAAGCGGTGGAAGTGGATAGAATACACTGTGGAAAGTACCTAACTGCATCACAAGACAAGCCCTCACATGGAACCCTCAAGGCAAAAGGAAAAGAGGAAGTCCAAGGAACACCTTACCCCGTGAATTAGAGAAAGATATGAGAGGAATGAACAAACATTGGACAGAACTGGAAAGAGAAGCCCAGCACAGTGTTGGTTGGAGAAAACTGGTGGGCTGCCTATGCTCCATTGGGGGTGGTAACAGGCGTAAGTAAGTAATGAAGGGGTTTTGACAATCGAATCAGCATAGTCTATCGTATCACTACTTCTATATCGTTGATCTTCATTCTGTTCATCGAGTAAGATGAACTCGTACTGTGGTGCGCACTACTTATAAGTAGTATATGAAGTGAGTGTAAACGTAATGTCTGGCCGCAGAAGATTGGGGAAGATCAAGAGAAAGGAAGGGCGGGAACACAAAGGAATTTGTATGAAACACATGAATAGTGAAATGTCAGACAATGGATTGATGAATAGGATTGAAGATTTGCAAATTAACCGTTTACGATATGGTTTTCCTATTTTTTGCTGAGTAACTCTGTAATTTCCTGATAAATACAATTTTCGGTTGCCCTCACCTGTGTTCTCCTTCACTATAGTACTACCATTATTCAAGTATATTACAAAAATAGAAAGAATAACAATCACTTCTTTTTATTATATTTATAGTCTCATCATCATCATGATCATCATTTTCTCAAGTGTTTGAGAATTTTTTTTACTTAATAATTTTTTTACCTACAAGTTGTTTGTTACATACAATTCAATGAATTGAGAGATTTTTTCAAGTACGTGTATATCACTTGAATGAAATACGTTGTAATACAACTAATCAAAAGTGTATATTAAATATTATTATTATTGTAATTATTATTATTTCTTTATTTTCTTCTCTATTGATTAAAACATTTTTAGATTTTTGATGATGGTGCTAAATCCCCATTAAGTGTTGTGATTGTTGATAATATTGAAGGTTTAATTGAATACAATCCAGTTGGACCAAGATTTTCTAATTTCATCGTTCAAGCAATACGTGATTTAGTATCGCAACCATTGAAAGCGGTTAGTTTTTGGTATATCTAATTATGTGCACATTTTCATTTTGTATATTATATACCTAGGATTTCGTACATTGAAGAAATAGTGCGGTGTGTGCAATGGATCACTTGTTTTTGTAACTAACGGTCGATATCCAACGTCAGTCAGTCAGTCAATCAGATGCAACGTAGAACCTTGTACGTATGTGCGTACATCAGTTCATGTCGCCATACCACATCAGCACAGAGATATAATTGTCAATTCAAATCCAATAGTAGAAGAGGTAGTAGTAAAGGTATTCGAAGTAATCAGAGAGGTTAGAATTAGAAGATATTATTCAAGAAGTATGATGATTCAGTGAGAATCATACGATATCCAACGTGTTCCTAGACTTCGTGATTTGTTCTTCCAGACAATCGTTACTAAGTAGCACCTGATGGTTTATAAATCAGAAGGTGTGAATACGAAGTGTTGAATATGTATGTTTATTCTGTGTGGCACACCACAAATGGACCAGCAGACTACAAGCACGTAGAGCAGGGCAGGTGAATGAAGTGAAATAGAGAAGGCTAGTGAGCCCATTCACTCGCTAATGTGCTTGCCCTGCTCTGGCGTGCTTGTAGTCTGCTGGTCTATTTGTAGTGTGCCACACAGAATAAATATGCATATTCAACACTTCGTTTTCACCTTCTGATTTAAAACCGTCAGGTGCTACTTAGTAACTATTGTCTGGACGAGCCACCAATTACAAAGTCTAGGAACAAACTCGTTGGATATCGACCGTCACAAAAACAAGTGATACACTGCACACAACCACAATAGTATTATTTTTAGTAGTTAATATTATTTCTTTAATTTTTTTTAAGATTATCAGATCGATTTTTTGCTTCTCTCTCTCTCTCTCTGAGAAAAATACATTTTAACATTAAACCAAAACATGGAAGAAATCCATGAAGTCATTGATAAGTGGACTGAGTCATGTCGGTAGTTGTCGACTACCTGGTTGGGGTCCGCGAGATGATAATAATCGATGATTAGATTCTCTGAATGAAATGGCTCAAAATCGTTCGCAATGGCGCCGGTGCATTTATTCTCTCTGTTCTCGTAAATCCTAATCTTCTGGATTCTTCAACCGCCGCTAGTTTTGACTTTCTAAACTTTTCTCACTGAATCATACTTCTTGAATAATATCTTCTAATTCTTACCTCTCCGATTACTTCTAATACCCTTACTACCTCTACTACTATTGGATTTGAATTGACAATTATATCTCTGTGCTGATGTGGCATTGCAACATGAACTGATGTATGTACGTACGAAGTTCTACGTTGCATCTGACTAGACTGACATTTTAACATTGTCTATTTTGTTTGTGTTTTTTTTTACAGGGTCGTCATATGTTAGTATTGGCTACAACTAGTTGTCGTGAAGCATTAACCGATCAAAATCTTACTCAAGCATTTTCATGGCATGTACATGTTGCTATGCTATCAAGACCTGATCATATTATTTCTGCTTTAGAAGAAGATGGACGTTTTACATTGAAAGAAAGACAAATGATTGAAAAATCTTTATCTGGTCGTCGGTAAGTGCTTCCTCCTCCTCCTCCTCCTACTGCTAATACACTTTTGTATTGTGTTATTTTATTTTCAAGATATACTTACTTCTTACGCCTGTCAACCCCAATGGAGCATAGGCCGCACAGCAGTTTTCTCCAACCAACTCTGTCCTGGGCTTCTCTTTCCAGTTCTATCCAGTTTTTGTTCATTCTTCTCATATCTTTCTCTATTTCTCGGCGTAATGTGTTCCTTGGACTTCCTCTTTTCCTTTTGCCTTGAGGGTTCCATGTGAGGGCTTGTTGTCTTGTGACGCAGTTAGGTGCTTTTCGTAGTGTGTGTCCAATCCACTTCCACCGATTCTTCCTGATTTCCTCCTCCACTGGAATCTGGTTTGTTCTCTCCCACAGTACGTTGTTTCTGATTGTGTGTGGCCAACGAATCCGAAGTATTTTGCGTTATCGAATGCTTTCTCGTAGTCGATGAAGTTGATGTAGAATGGTGAGTTCCATTCAATTGATTGTTCCACAATGATCCGTAATGTTGCAATTTTGTCAGTACACGATCGATCCTTACGAAATCCAGCCTGTTGATCTCAAAGTTGGACGTATACGAAGTCCTTCATTCTGTTTAACAATACCCTGTTAAAGACTTTGCTTGGTATTGATAGAACAGTGATGCGTGTGTAGTTCTCTTAATTGCTGAGATGGCCTTTCTTTGGTATTTTGATCAGGTATCCTTCTTTCTAATTTGATGAGACTTGTTATTTTCAAGATAATCTGATCATCTTATGTGTTTTTTCTATTTCTTATTTGTCTTCTAAGTTGATCACTGGTCAAAATGCTTGACTTATCTACACTAGCAACTCATCGATTCCATTCTTTACTAGTTCATATAGAGGAATAGAGTTTAGGAAACTAAGTAACATCACTATTCTTTTCACTGTATAACATTTCATAGAGCTTTTCTTAGAAAATCTTGAGTTTGTTAACAAAAAATCCAATTACTACTTGTTCTTAGATTCGTCATATTAACTGATTTTTCCCTACCAAAAATTTTCCTTTAAGTAGTGTTGTAACGCTGCTACGTATAGCTAGCTATTCAGTCCTAGCGGCGTCCAAATTCAAATATCCCAATACGACCCAAAATGCTATTTACAAATCTTCTATATATCAGAACGCAACACCGTGGGATGGAGTTGTTTATTGGGTCGAGTACAGAAGAGAGAGGTAGGCAGGAGAAACGGAATCGGAATCATGAAGGCTTACAGATAATGCGTATTTATACATTTTGGTCGAATAGGAAACAGCATCAAAGTCTGTGACATTGACAGTTTAGGACGACCAATAGGAAAGAATAATTGAAATGACACTGACAGTCCGGATGACCAATCAGATACAACATTGAAGTATTTGACTTTGACACTTAAAACGACCATGATTTTGACCAATAGAAATCGACCAATAGGATTATACTTCCAAAAATAGTACTCTTAGGATATTTGGTGAATATCCTAACAAGTAGAAACTATTTTCCACTCTTCATGTGGAACAGTCAAAATCCCAATTTAATGTTTGTTATCATTTTTCATACAATATACAGCTTAGTAGTATATCAAATTTAGATAATTTCAAACCATTTCCTATCTCAAACAAATTCATTCTGAATTATGAAATCGTTTGAATTTTTTCTGTGACTAGAGTTTCAAATTGAGAGGATAATAATTCATAACTTTGTGTCACATTGACTTGTTGATAGTATATTCAGTTTTGATATGCTTCAAACTATTACGAATTCACCTTAGTCAGTAGACGAGAGCGAAGACAAATGATCCAGTGACACACGATTGGTTATTCTGATCCGATTGTCCTCAACCCTGTTATTTATAGCAATAAGTCTCGATAGGGCATTGAAAGTGCTATTCCATAAGCATTCAGAAAATGTGAAGTTGAAAAGTACACAAATCGAGTTTATTTTTACAGTCAAGGATTTTCCGAGTGCGAAGTGTGTAGTCTCAAGGTTAACTGATCAACCCATACACGGGGATCTAAAGTCCCCAACACATTTTCAAAGTAATGGCATACATACACTTGTGTTAGATACACTTCAAAATCTTCCAATAAAAATGCCGTGCTTGAACAGCTTCAAGCAGTTTTCCTTTGGGCTCTGTGGTCACGCTTCCAGGTATCTAAGATCAGCCAACACAAACCCAACTTGTTTTTCTAGTTCCTCAAGAAACACCCTTCGACGATATGAGCAGCCGGGAATTCGCATCAACCCTCATACTCGTAACAGTATACAAGACCAAATTGGTCACAATGAACGTGGTATGGCAACCTGAACTGATGTACATATGCACAAAGTTCTACGTTGTAGCTGACTGACTGGTGTTAGATCCTTCTCAAATCACTGGAAAGTCCTCCTGGTTTTAAGTTTATAGACTTCAATTCATTTGTCTTGAAATGATTAGCCAGGTCTTATTAATATAATGCTTTCTTCAGCCTCGAGTAAGTAGGCTAATGTTCACATAACCAATTCCACTAAATGATAGTAGGAGGTTAGCTTACTAGCGTCTTACTTCAAAATGTCTCGAGAATTCGTAACTGTTCGAGTCCAAACATCTTGGCAATGAAAGTTATCACACCAATATCATCTAATAATCATCAGGTGTGTCATGAATTGATTGAACTCTAAACCAGTTATCTTAACGGTTAAGTGTTCGACACAAGCTCAGAATATCTTCAATTTTATTCGCTAACCAAACTGTAGTTAATCCCATACACTAGGACGAAGCAGCTGTCCAGTACTTCGTGGTTTTATGTTGATACTTCAATACGAATCAATCGGTTACCAAATACAAGCTACGAGTAGAAATACAAACTTCATAGAAATTCATTAATTCACTAAAGTTAAAACTGTTCATCATCATCAACAACAGCAACATAAACGTGTTCTCTTTTTTTTTAACCTGACCTTATGACCCTTACAGTTCGATGTTTTTCATAAATATAACCATATACCATATTGAAACTTGGCCAATATTTCTATTATTATTGATTTTTTTTAATCATATCATATAGATACTGTAAAATTAAATTGAGCTTATTTCTCTTCTTTTTTTTAATTATTATTTCAGTTTGTGTATTGGAATTAAGCATTTACTTGATTTGATTGATCTTGTCTCAAAGGTAAGTAGTGAATGATGTCCTTTATATACCAATCAGCTGAATTATATTATACTTGTTAGTAAGTAGCAAAATCTGTAGTTTATTTTGGTACGTCTGGGTGGGGGGATTCATACATCGGATATTATGTATTTTTGTTCAGCTCTCTATTTAGAGATTTTAACCGAATTCCAACATTTCTGATGTAAAACCATCCTTGTTTGATTTTATCATAGATACGCTCCTAGAAATAACCTTATCCTCGTGTGAATTTTCTGGAGTAGACCTTTTACCTGCTGGCTCGCTTATTGACTTAGAATATGCTGATGACATAGTCATACTTGGTGAAGACGCTGACAAAATGCACAGTCTTCTGACTACCCTAAGCAACAATGCAAGCATGTTCGGGATGCGGTTCTCACCCTCGAAATGCAAAATGTTGCTTCAAGATTGGGTTTCATCGGCACCTGAACTAGTGATAGGGAGTGAAGTAGTCGAACGTGTAGACGGCTTCACTTATCTTGGGAGTCTCATCAGTGCTGACGGTCTGGTGACTGACGAAATCTCAGCTCGGATACAGAAAGCTCGATTGGCTTTTGCCAACCTGCGTCACTTATGCCGTAGGCGAGATATCCGTTTGCTAACTAAAGGATGAGTGTACTGCGTAGTGGTTCGCTCCGTCTTACTTTATGACTGTGAAACATGGCCAGTGAGAGTAGATATTGGTAGTTTACTGGTATTCGATCAAAGGTATCTTTGAAGCATTGCTCGTATATCGTGGGACACCCGAGTGAGCAACGCTGTTATTAGGAATCGGGTGCTAGTTAAGAATGGCAGATCAATAGATGAAGTGGTGAAACTTCATCAGTTGAGGTGGTTGGGACATATGTAGCGTAAGCCTAACCACCGACTGCCTCGTCGAGCTATGTTTTGTGGTGTAGGAATAGGTTTGAAGAAAGCTAGGGGTGACCAAAACGAAAAATGGCAGAAATCCATGAAGTCACTGACAAGTAGACCGAATAATGTTGGTAGGTGTCGACTTTCTGGTTGAGGTCCGCGAGACGAAAGTCACCGATGGTTAGAAACCTGGAATGAAATGGTTCAAAACAGTTTGCAATGGCGCAGGTGCATTCATTCTTTGTGTTCTCTGAAATTCCAACCTTAAGAATTCCCCATCATCTCTATCTTTCTCTCACTGAATTGTACACTTTTTGGATAATATCTTCGAGCCCTAATATTCTCCATTACCCACCACCACTATGGGATTTGAAGTGGCAGTTGCTTCTCTTTGCTAATATGGTATGGCAACCTGAACTGATCGACTTACTTACGACTTTCTACATTGTAACTGACTGACTGATATGACTAGATAATCTTTAATTTTTTAATCTTTCTTACTTATCATTAATTTTAGTATTCTTTCTATTTCTTTCTGATTTATTCTGTTAATTTAATTCTTGTTTGTACTCATTTGATGAAGCAACTTCTTATTCCAAGCTCTATGAACTATAAACGCGCATTTATCATCCTGCCCTACCTTTGTATAACAGGATCAGTCAGTTGCAACGTAAGAATTTCGTAGGTATGTACATAAGTTCATGTTGCTGCCATACCACATTAGCACAGAGACGCAAATGTCAAATCAAATCTCATAGTGATAAAGATAGTAGAGGTATTAATGGTAATGAAGAAGACTAGGGTTCGAAGATATTATTCAAGAAGGATAGAGATGATTAGAAATTCTGAGGATTAGAATTTAAGAGAACACAATAAGTGATGAATAGACCTGTTCCATTGCTAACGATTTTTAATCATGTTGTGTAAGTTCTCTAACCATTGGTTACTATCGTTTCGTGGACGCCAACCAGGTAGTCGACAACTACCGACATGGCTCAGTCCACTCGTCAATGACTTCATGGATTTGTGCCATGTTTTGGTATGGCCGCCCTTAGTTTTCTTCCAACCTACTCCTACACTACAGAACATAGCTGGTCAAGGCAGTCGTAGGTTGGACATACGTAATACATGTCCCAATCACCTCAACTGACGGAGTTTCACTACTCCATGCTTCCCATTACACATACCAAACTAACTTGTGACAAGGATACATCATGAATTTGTGCCATGTGCCATAACAGGCAGGGTCAAGTGAACTTCTCATCGGTGGATAATTAATACAGATATGAACAACATAGAACATAATGAAATCAATTGAGCAGATAAAATAATCAATACAAAGACAGAAAAAAATCAAAGAATAAGATAACAAAGAAAAATATTTGTTTACTGGGTCAATACCGATATTCAACTTTGAGAAATATAAAAGATTTTTAAAAACTCTTGGAAAAAAAATTGGGGGAATAATCTGTTAACATACTTGACCTCTATTGCCAATAAAAGATTGAACCTGTTTTATTATTATTCAAGTGAATAATAATTAATTCTGTATTGATTTTTTATCAGTATAAAAAAAGAAGAGAAACAATGATTGCAGTAAAAAGATTTTTAAATATTCATTGAATGATGACGAAAATATTCATTGATCAGGCAAGTGTAAGTCACTCAATCAGTCAGATGCAACGTAGAACTTTGTACGTAAGTACATCAGTTCATGTTGCCATACCATCACATTAGCACACAGAGATATAATTGTCAATTCAAATCAAAAAGTAGAAGAGGTAGTAAAGGTATTAGAAGTAATCGGAGAGGTTAGGATTAGACGATATTATTCAAGAAGTATGATTCAGTGAGAAAAGTTTAGAAAGTAAAAACTAGAGGTGTTGAAGAATCCAGAAGATTAGGATTTGAGAGAACACAAAGAATAAATGCACCGGCGCCATTGCGAACGATTTTGAGCCATGTCCTTCAAGGTCTCTAGCCATCGATTATTATCATCTCGCGGACCCCAACCAGGTAGTCGACAATTACCGACATGGCTAAGTCCACTCGTCAATGACTTCATGGATTTCTGCCATGTTTTGGTCTGGCCGCCCCTAGCTTTCTTCCAACCTATTCCTACACTACAAAACAAAGCTCATCGAAGCAGTCGGTGGTTAGGCATACGCAACACATGTCCCAACCACCTCAACTGATGAAGTTTCACCACTTCATCGATTGATCTGCCATTCTTACCTAGCAGCCGTTTCCTAATAACAGCGTTGCTCACTCGGGTGTCCCACGATATACGAGCAATGCTTCGAAGACACCTATGATCGAAAACCATTAACCTACGAACATCTTCTACTCTTAACGGCCATGTTTCACAGCCATATAAGAGAACGGAACGAACTGCTGCGCAGTACACCCGCCCTTTGGTTAGTGAACGGATATCACGCCTACGCCATAAGTGACGCAGGTTGGCAAAAGCCAATCGAGCCTTCTGTATCCGTGCCGAGATTTCGTCAGTCACCAGGCCATCGGCACTGATGAGACTCCCCAGATAAGTGAAGCGGTCTACACGTTCGACCACTTCACTCCCTATCACTAGTTCAGGTGCCGATGCAACCCAGTCTTGAAGCAACATTTTGCATTTCGATGGGGAAAACCGCATCCCGAACATGCTTGCATTGTTGCTTAGGGTAGTCAGAAGACTCTGCATTTTGTCAGCTTCTTCACCAAGTAGGACTATGTCATCGGCATATTCTAAGTCAATAAGCGAGCCACCTGGTAGAAGGTTAACCGCTGAAAATTCAGACGAGGATAATGTTATGTCTAGGAGCATGTCTATGATAAAATTAAACAAGAATGGAGAGAGTGGACATCCCTGACGGACACCACTTGAAGTGAAGTATTCCGGTGACAGTTCGCCATAAGCTCTCACTCGACCAGTGGTGTTTGAGTAGAGAGCTTGTATGAGGTTAATGTACTTATTTGGTACACCTTTCAATGACAGACACTGCCATAGAACCTCACGATCCACTGAGTCAAATGCCGCCTTAAGGTCCAGGAAAACAACTATTGTAGGACGCCTAAATGTGTGTCTGTGTTCCAAGACCTGTCGTAGTGTGAAAATGTGGTCTATACAGCCACGTCCAGGTCGAAAACCAACCTGGTTTTCTCGAGTCTGCTCTTCACGAGCTTTCGTTAAGCGTCGAAGTATTATTGAGGCCAATATTTTAGATACTATATTAGTTAGACTTATTCCCCAGCGTCCGGGTAGGCCACCTTGAATCCCCAAATAGAGTAAAACAGCTTTGTAAGTGTAGAAAGTATCTTCTACAAACACCCAGCAATCACACAATACAGTCAAGCATACAACTCTCGTTTATTTATACATCATAGAAACGTCATTGGGACAGTTAAGAAAATAGCACACTAAAATACACAGCAGCCAATCACAGCCATGGATTTTCATGGTGGGAATTGAAATCTCAAGGTCAACTGATCAGCCCATGCTCGCAAACGCAGAAACCAAAATAAGGCATTTATCAAGCGAATTTTGGGGATCTAACATCCCCATCGTACTTAAACACAGCGTTACTTACTACTTACTACGTTGTTCCACAATAACTGAGCACTGTTTCAAAGCTAACTTTAATCGTATTTATAAAATGTCACTATCTACCAAGTCATGTTTCTTCCTTGAGGAGACTAGTTTATCTGCACCTTTGGAAAAAAATTCTTATCCTTACCCAGCTTCCATAAGTTTGTGTTTATTGTTGTTTATAGAGATGGAGAGACTAATTCGGTAGTTTGAAAGATCCCTTCTCTATTTTTCTTATCTTTAAAGAATATTTTGATTAGATCTTTAAAAAAAGTGACTAAGCTTTACAAAATGCTTTATGTCACTAAAGTGTCAAGTTATGTTAGTGGAATTACATTTTATTTGCGGCAAGAAATTTTTGTCAATATACATAGTTCTATTTGGTGAAGACGCTGACAAAATACAGAGTCTTCTGACTACGCTAAGCAACAATGCAGTTTTCCCCCTCGAAATGCAAAATGTTGCTTCAAGATTGGCTTGCATCGGTACGTGAACTAGTGATAGGGAGTGAAGTAGTTGAGCGTGTCGACCGCTTCACTTATATCGGGAGTCTCATCAGTATTGATGACCTAGTGACTGACGAAATCTCTGCATGGATACAGAAGGCTCGATTAGCTTTTGCCAACTTGCGTCACTTTTGGCGTAGGCGAGCTATCCGCCTGCTAACCAAAGGACGAGTTTACTGTGCAGCAGTTCACTCTGTCCTAAAATATGGATACGAAACATGGCCAGTAAGAGTAGAAGACATTAGTAAGTCCATTTGCTCGTATAACCTGGGACAACCGAGTAAGCAATGCTGTCTTTAGGAAACGGGTTATAGGTAAGTATGGTAAATCAATAGCTGAAGTATTGAGACGAGTAATGTTTTGTGGTGTAGGAGTAGGTTGGAAGAATGCTTGGGGGCTGCCAAACCATTTTGTCGAGACGAAAGTCTCTGACAGTGAGAGGAGACCTTACACGACATGGCTCAAAATCGTTTGCAATGGCGCAGATGCATCTACTCATTGTGTTCCATCAAATTCTAATCTTCAGAATTCATCATCATCTTTTTCTCTGTCTTTCTAAATTTATCTCGCTGAATTATGCCTTTTGAATAATATCTCCGAACTCTAATCTTCTCCATTACCGCTAATACTTCTGTTATCTCTACCACTGTTGGATTTAACTTGACAATGGCGTCTCTGTGCTAATATGGTATGGCAACCTGAACTGATGTACTTACACGTACGAAGTTCTACATTGTAACCGATTGACGAATGTTTTATTGATGGGTACAAATAAAACTTAACAATCTTCACAACAATCCAGCAATGCAATTACCTGTGTCCACTAGTGACTAGCTCCATGAGGAATCTTCTCGGAGTCCTAGTGGGAAGTTGTGACCAGTGAAGTTCAAACCTGTTCCGATGTATAGAGGGTATGAGGTTGCGCAACTCCTTGAATTGATCAAGTTAGACATTAACACCGTTAGATGCCGGCCCAGTGGTCTAACGGTTAGGGCGTTCGCGCACAATACCGAAGGTCCTGGGTTCGAATCCTGCGGGTTGCAGGCTTCGTGGAAGCGCACTGCTGATGAGTTCCATACCAGGACGAAACGGCCGTCCAGTGCTTCCAGGTTTCTAATGCGGTGGTCTAACATTGATCGATTCATGGTTACAAATAAAACTTAACAATCTTCACAACAACCCCTCAATGAATTAAATACACAAATTTGCACATAGATTGCCAATACAATCATAACTACAAGAAAACTATTCAACAAGACTACAATGCAAAATTAGTTAAGTGTGCAAGAAATTTACTAAAGAAATACAAAATATTTGATCATGTAAAAACTCTTGAAAAATAAAGCAGCAACTTTGTATTATTATATTTATTATTTTCATTCAAAATATCCTATTGGATTATCATCATCTGAATCGGTTCATTGATCCTTTCTTTCTTAATTTGTTTCAGCATGATTTAGATCATCGTGTTTCTGCATTCTTGACTAAATTAGAAGAAGTTGGCATTGTGGATGAATGAGTAAAAGAATGAACGTATTCATGACACACGGATTGTAATAATCTATTTATATACATGAATATGAATATCAATATGTTCACAGTCCAAATGATCGACAATATTGCGCAATACCCAGTCAGAATAATCACGCTTGCATTCCATTCAGTGAACAATTAGTTTATTTATTTCGAAAATCTATAATCACACATTCCATGAATATGAATATATATATATATATTGATATTTATATTTTCTCAATGCAAATGATATTTTTGAAGAAATTGCTTCCTTGTTTTTTCTTTGGTCTTATTTTCTTTTTTTTTTCCTCGGATGAATTTCTTCCTCTTAATGTTATCATTTCACAACACCTCATAATTATATAAACGGAATGTTCTCTTACACAATACACATTTTGATAATAATTAATTATCCAGTACATTCATTGTTATTATTCTGATGTATTGAGTGTACTGTCTTCAAAATGTTTATTTATTTATTCTAATTGCCATGCTGCGGCGTCATCATCATCGCTGCAATCTCATCTTTGATCACTACTGCAATTTAATTATTTTGATCACTGCAATGCCCCGAAAATCGGCATTTTTTTATTATGTGATAAAGAAGTGTATTTCTTTATTTTTCGTTATTTATTAATTGCATTAAACTTTCTTTAAAAAAAAATTTTTATCTTTATAGAATTTAACGAAAAAAATAAAATAATATTGAAGAGATAATTTGTGTGTGTTTTCTTTTTTCGTATTGTAAGAAAAGAAATAGAGTTTAGAAATTACGCTCTACTAGTAGTAGTGGTAGTGTGGTGTACGCTACTTATGTTCACATAAGTAGTATATGATATCGAAAATGGAAATCAAACGTCTGACAGTCAAAGATCGAGATGGAATGAATGAGAGAACAGAAGGCGATTTGTAGGTAATGTAAAGTGAACTGAAGTCTGAACAGTCTAAATGTGAAAGAGCACTGAAATCTGAAACAAATAAGGATTAGTTTGCAAATGATGAAGGTTTCACGGGAAGGTTTTGTACATATGCTTAACAACTCTGTAATATTCGATTAAATATAGATGTTGATGTCCTCAACTGAGTTCTTGAGCACAATAGTAGCAGTACGAAATCAATACATCAGCGAAATATACCTGTAAAACTAAGAGAGAGAGTCGGCAAACGATAGCGAACACAAAGGTCCAGTGACACAATTGGCTACTCTAACCTGAGCGTCCGAAGCCCTCACTAACGGTATAAAAAAAGTCTTAATGTGGTGTACTTACTTACGCCTGTTACCCCCAATGGAGCATAGGCCACAGACCATTTTTCTCCAACCAACTCTGTCCTGGGCTTCCCTTTCCAGTGCTGTCCAATGTTTGTTCATTCCTCTCATATCTTTCTCTATTTCTCGGTGTAATGTGTTCCTTGACCTTCCTCTTTTCCTTTTACATTGGGAGTTCCAAGTGAGGGCGTGTCTTGTGATGCGGTTGGGTGCTTTACGCAGTGTGTGTCCTATCCACTTCCACCGCTTCTTCCTGATTTCCTCATCCACTGGAATCTGGTTTGTTATCTCCCACAGTAGACTGTTGCTGATGATGTCTGGCCAACGAATACGAAGTATTTTGCGTAGACGACTGTTCATAAATACTTCTGGATGATGGCTTTGGTAGTTCTCCAACTTTCCACTCCATACAGTAGAACTGTGTTGACATTTGTATCGAAAATGCAGATTTTGGTTTTGGTTGAAAGTAGTTTAGAGTTGCAGATATTTTTCAACTGTAGAAATGCAGCCTTTGCTTTGCTGATCCGCGCCCTCACATCTGCTTCAGATGAACCTTGATTGTCGATGATGCTGCCCAGATATGTAAAGGTGTCAATGTCCTCCAAGGCATCTGCATCAAGAGTGAGTGATTTGGTTGGTGCATGTTGTGTTGCATCGGAGAATTTTGCGTTTTCCTTTTTGTATGTTGAGACCTACTGCTGTGTTGTAGAGAGTGTATTTTACAAGCACCCGGAAAATATGAGGTTTCGTACAGAAGGTGAAGAGTAGCATAAAACTTTACAGACAATGCATATTATTTATACAGTTAGGTCGACTCAGAAAATAATTTCTTTACGATGTTTAATGAACATCTTAACAATAACCGATTACGAAATATGCTGAAACATTCAGTGAATAAATAATTACGTTGATATGCCTCTGTTTGAGAGGGACATAGATTGGATGAAAGCAAGTTCCATACGCTGATTGGCTCTTTCGTATCCAATCAGCGCGAGTCGATACTGACGGCACATTCTAGAGTCTTCTCATGTTAAGAAAACTATAAATAAACTAACGATTTTTCCTATTGAGCTTCTTACTTCCATCTAACCTTGTTACTGGAATATAATCTCCTTTCCTGTTCAACCGTGTTCTCGTTTGGGGTGAACGTTTCGTGTGAATCGATTCCCGAAAATACTAAGCATTCGGAATAACTGGATTGTAATAAAGACAGAATTATAACAATACCTTTCGGTGACTGTCGTCTAGTTGATTATGGTGAAGTTCAGTGTAAACGGCCTCATCATCAGTATGTTCATTAAAATCATCATAGTCAGTCAGATGCAACGTAGAACTTTGTACATAAGTACATCAGTTCATGTTGCCATACCACATCAGCACAGAGATATAATTGTCAATTCAAATCCAATAGTAGAAGAGGTAGTAAGGGTATTAGAAGTAATCGGAGAGGTTAGGATTAGAAGATATTATTGAAGAAGTATGATGATTCAGGGAGAAAAGTTTAGAAAGTCAAAACTAGAGGGTTTGAAGGATCCAGAAGATTAGGATTCGAGAGAACACAAAGAATAAATCATCATAATGAAGACATGTCTGATCAACTCAATCCACCGGACTACTGCTCTTATTGCCCCAAATACTAGTTTATCTATATCGATCAGAGCATTTTTCTATGAATAACTAATTTCCAAGTTGTTATTGCGGAAACAGTCAGTCAATTCGTTTGTTTATTCCTAATTCCTCACAGGGACTGCGGTTCTGAAATCAATCTACTTGCCTTATAGAGTAGATTTATATCGCGTTGAATTTCTAGTTTCCAATTAACCCGGAAAACTTTATTGGTTTCTAGTTAGACAGTTGGTTTGCTCAATAACATATCGATCTTTTCAATATGTTAAAAACCATTTATAGCCTAAACCATTTAGCTTCATTTAAGAAGGTTAAGTAGAAATAGCAGATTGACGTGAATTAAAGTTAGTGTCACTTGTCTGCGCATGATTCCTCAAGAAGATATTTTCAGTTTGATATAGCTCGCAATATTGGATGCGCTGTTATTCTATGATGGCCAGATTTTGAGTTTGAAAAAAATCCGCCTATATTTCTCCAAACATCTGCAATTTTGGAAATATCTTCAAACTACTCATAAGTAGTATGAATTGCTTACTGTGTTTTTTAATGAGACACCTTTCTGAAGCGCATTAGTTTAAGTCCAGTAGTAAGTATAGATTTTCCTCAGTTTACCAGTCGGTCAGAGAAAAGCCATCTGAAATAATTAGTTGACCTTGTAACTGATTAAATTCAATGCCTTAATTTTGACATAGCATTGTCAATTTGATCTGATTATTATTATTACTCCTCCAATGGAATCTAGTTTGTTCTCCCACAGTAAGTCGTTTCTGATGGTGTTTGGCCAACGAATGCGAAGTATTTTGCGTAGACAACTGTTAACAAACACTTGTACCTTATGGATGATGGTTTTCGTAGTTCTCAAAATTTCCGCTCCATACAGTAGAACAACTGTCTTGACATTTGTATTGAAAATCGTGATTTTGGTTTTGGTTGAAAGTTGTTTGGAGTTCCATATGTTTTTCAACTGTAGAAATGCAGCCCTTGCCTTACCAGTCCGCACCCTCACATCTGCATCGGATCCACCTTGATTGTCAATGATGCTGCCCAGATATGTAAAGGTGTTAACGTCCTCCAAGGCATCTCCATCAAGAGTGATTAAATCTCATTTCTCGATATCAGCTATAGATGTTGGAGTGGTTGGTGCACACCATTTTCAAGGTTTATGGACATAAAAAATGGCACAGTTGGGTTAGTCTATTTTACACATTGAAATAATCAATCGATCACTGTTAGATCACCATTAGAAACCTGGAAGCATTGGACGGCAGTCTCGTCCAGTGTGCATCCACAACTGCCGCACCTCGCAGAATTCGAACCCGAGACCTACGGTCTTGCGCTAGAACGACTAACCTCTGGGCCGGCATTCAACTGTGTTAATGTCCAAGTGTGATCACTTCACAGATATTTATGAATCTTTATGTTCTGTAGAAAATTCATTTGATTTGGAATTAAATAGCACTAAAATAAAAATTTTCAAATGTCTTGTTTGTGAATTATTATTATTAATGCACTAAATGTTCGTTGTGATCCTTTGTAAAAATCATTTCGTAAAACATTAAAGCAAACTACAGTACAGTTGTATAAACAAACACAATACTTTTCCCTTACCAGTCAGTTCATTCACAATCTTCAATGATCTGTATGTTTTTCATCCGGCTATATTTGGATGTTACGCTTACATGTAACTATGATATGCTTGAACTATTACGAGTTTACCTTGGTCAGTAAACGAGAGCGAGGGCGACACGATATGCTAATCTTATCCGAGTGTCCCTACCCCCATTGAATAAAAGGAGATGTGATATGAAGTAGAACCTGTATTCTACAAACATTCAGAAAGTACGAGGTCCGAGTCTAGAAGAGTATCAGGATCACGGACTAGGGATTCGGGTCCTAAAACTCTACAGATAATGCGTATTTATACATTTAGGTCCAGTAGGAAATAGCATCAAAGTCTGTAACATTGACAGTTAAGGCGACCAATAGGAAAAAACATTTGAAGTGACATTGATAATCAGGACGGTCAATAAGAAACAACATTGCAGTACATGACATTGATATCTAGGATGACTATAAAATTAACTAGTAGGAATTAACTAATAGGAATTGAC